TCCAGGCCTCGTTCCTGCAGCCCGACGTCGGCGTCTGAGGGCCGGGACCCCCAAGGGCCGCTTGACCCACAAGGCCCCGCCGCTCCCCGGGGCCTCCCGTTAGGGACGACTTGGCCGAAGCGCTTCCGCGGACTAATTGTCCGCGGGGCCTCACCCCGGAGGGAGGATCTCCAGCGTCTTCCCCAGATGGAAAAAGACTTTATTCTCTATGAATTCGTTCTAAATTAGGGAAGCATGTGGGAATTGGAAAAGACTGGAAATTCTGAGCTGCTTCCCCGGCCCTGAAAAAACAGGAAGAGAAAAGTGAAAACGGTCACCACCGCCCATCCTTGGGTCCTCGCTGGCCGGCGCACTGGTCCCGCCAGTTTACTCTCCTGGGGAGGCCGCTGAGGATCAGAACAGGTGCGCCGTCACCTTTGGTTAACGACCGCATCATCAGCTACCCCTGCATGGGCCTCTTTTTAAAAAGTATCTATCATTTAAATCAACAAATAGAATTCCATTGTACCCACTGCCAAACCCAAGGGGCTGGTCAGACCACCAGGACTTACCACCCACCGTCTGTCTCCTTGTCCCCGTCCAGGGCGCCACCACCCAGAACTCCGTGTTTGCTGCTCCGTGCTCACTACACATGCCTACACAATAGGCTGTTCGATTTTGTTTAGTTTTGAACTTTTATGAAGAGAGTCTCATATTATTTTTGGTCTTTGTTACTTGTTTCTTTCACTCCACATATTACTGAGTTTCATAGTTCATACACTTTCTATGGCTGTTTACTATGCCGTTGTGCAAACAAGCCACTGGTTATGTGTTCATCCTGAGAATGGCCATTTCAGTCTAGTTTTTGCTGTTATAAGCAGTGTGATTAAGAGACATCCTGTGAGCCCTAACTGGTTCGGCTCAGTGGATAAAGCGTTGGCCTGCGGACCAAAGAGTCCCAGGTTAGATTCCAGTCAAGGGCATGTACCTCACTCAGCTGCAGGCTCCTCCCGGCCAGCCCTGGTAGGGGTGCTTGCAGGAGGCCAACCAATTGTGTTTCTCTCACATCAATATTTTTTTCCCTCTCTCTTCCACTCTCTCTAAAAATCAATGGAAAAATATCCTCGAGTGAGGATTAATTTTTAAAAAGAGAGAGTTCCTGTGGCTTTGGCCAACGTTGCTCAGTGGTTAGAGTCTGGGACATCACACCAAAGGGCCATGGGTTCCATTTACATCAAGAGCACATACCTGGGTTGTAGGTTCCATTCCCGATCCCCATCCCTGGCCCCTGACAGGCACTTGCGGAAGGCAACCAATTGATATGTCTCCCATCAATATTTCTCTCTCTCCTCTATCTCTTTCCCCGTCCCTCCCTCCTTTCCACTCTCTGTGAAAAGCAATGGGAAAAATATCCTCAGATGAGGACTAAAAAAATAAATTTGATTTTATCAAAATTTAAAACTTCTGTATCAAGGAAGCTTTAAACAGAAAGCAATCCACAGAATGGTAGAAAATGTTTACAATCACATACCTGATAAGGATCAGTGTTCAGAATATATAAGTAATTCCTGAAACTTAACAACAAAAACCAAATAACCCAATTCAAACAATCAGCAATGGACTTGAGTAGACATTTCTCCAAAAAAGATATAAAAGGGGCAATAAATAAGCATATGAAAAAATGTTCAACATCCTGGCCAGAGTGACTTGTAGTTGAACCTTGACCTAGGAGGTCATGGTTCAATTCCTGGTCAAGTAATAGGGTTGCAGGCTCCATCCTCAGTTGGGTGTGCAGGAGGCAGCTGATCAATAATTCTCATCATTGATGTTTCTCTCTCTCTCTCCCTTCCTTTCTGAAATCAATAAAAAAATACTTTTTAAAAAAAGAATGAGCCCAGCTGGCATGGCTCAGTGGTTTAGCATCAACCTATGAACCGGGAGGTCAGGGTTCGATTCCTGGTCAGGGCACAGGCCTGGATTGTGGGCTTGATCCCCAGTGAGGGGCATGCAGGAGGCAGCCAATCGATGATTCTCATCATTGATGTTTCTATCCCTCTCCCTCTCCCTACCTTTCTGAAATGAGTAAAAGATACATATTTTTAAAAAGGAATGAAATTCTGATACATGCTACCACAAGGACAAACCTTGAAAACATTCTAAGTGCAGTAAGCCAGGTACAAATGGGCGGACATTGTAGATTCTACTTACACGAGGTACATAGTCAAATTCATAGAGGCAGAAAGTGGAATAATGGCTACCAATGGCGAGGATAGCAAGAATGGGGAGTTAGTGTGTAATGTGTACCGAGTTTATGTTGGGGGATAATGAAAAGATTCTGGAGCTAGTGGTGATAGTTGCTCACCAATGTGAATGTACTTAATGCCACTGAACTGTACACTTAAAATGGTTAAAATGGTAAGTTTTATGTACTCTTTACCAAAGAATATAAATTATCAAGGATACCAATCAGTTATTCATTTGATCTACCTCACACTATCCACAAAACACTCTCAGAATAACAATACCAGCTCTACCACCAATAATGTGATTACTGAAACAGAACACATTTTTCAGTTCTTTTTTTTTTTAAAATATATTTTATTGAGTTTTTACAGAGAGGAAAGGAGAGAGATAGAGAGTTAGAAACATCGATGAGAGAGAAACATCGACCAGCTGCCTCCTGCACACTCCCCACTGGGGATGTGCCCGCAACCGAGGTACATGCCCCTGACCGGAATCGAACCTGGGACCTTTCAGTCCGCAGGCCGACGCTCTATCCACTGAGCCAAACCGATTTCGGCTTTCAGTTCTTGTTTGTAGGTTATATATAATTTTGGGTACATACCCATTATCAAGTTAAGGAAGCTCCTTTCTACGTTTTGTTTACTAAGAATGGTTATGATAAATAGGTGCTGATTTTTATCACGTGCTTTTCCTGCATCTGTAGAGAAGGTCATAAGATTTTTCTCCTTTATCTGTTAATGTCGAGTATGACACAGATTTCCTAATCGTAAACCATCCTATGTTCTTGGGATAAACTTCACTTGCTCATGGTGTTATCATATTGTTGAATTTGATTCACTGAGTTAGGATTCTGCAACTCCCTTTGTAAATGAAATGGCTGTAGTTTCCCTTTATTTTTCCTGGCCTCGTCTAATTTTGGTATCAAAGTTGTATCAGCCTCATAGAATGATTTGAAGAAAAATACCCCCTTTTTTATTCTCTGGAAAAGTCCACTTAAGTTTGGAATAATTTGTTCCTTAAAAGATATTTTTGGCCCTACCTGGTTTGGCTCAGTGGATAGAGCATTGGCCTGCGGACTGAAGGGTCCTAGGTTTGAATCCGGTCAAGGGCATGTACCTTGGTAGCAGGCACATCCCCAGTAGGGGACTGTGCAGGAGGCAGCTGATCGATGTTTCTGTCTCATCGATGTTTCTAACTCTCTATCCCTCTCCCTTCTTCTCTGTAAAAAATCAATAAAATATTTTTTTAAAAAGATATTTTTGTTATTGTAAATCCTCACCAGAAGATAGGATATTTTTCCATTGATTTGAGAGAGAGAGAGAGAGAGAGAGGAAGGGAAGGGGAGAGAAACATCCATGTGAGAGAAACACACATTGATTGGTTGCCTCCCACACGCGCCCCAACCACCAGGACCAGGGATCGAGCCTACAACTGAGATACTTGCCCTTGACTAGAATCCAACCCAGGACCCTTCAGTCCGAGGAGGACCGACGCTCTATCCACTGAACCGAACAGCTAGATCTGTTCCTTAAAGGGTTTGTAAAACTCACCAGTAAAATTGCCTGTAGCTGTTGTTTTCCTCTAGAGAAAGATTTTACCTTTTTCATTATGAACATTTTCAAACACACAATGTTTCACTATGATATTTTGCGGGGGGGTGGCGAGTGGAAGAGAGAGGGAAAGACAGAGACACATCCCTGTTAGAGATGCACATCAACTGGTTGCCTCCTGCAGGAGCCCGACCAGGGCCCGCGCCGGAGCAGAGACTGTGCCCAAGGTTCATGCCCTTAACCACTCCCAAACCCGCGACCCTTTGGTCCAGGCTGACTCTCTAACCACTGAGCAACACTGGCTAGGGCCAAACACACTCAATGTTAAAGAGAATGGTATAATTAACCTCACACACCCATCTTCAGCTTGTGTAAATGCCAGCTGTGCTGCTTGTTCCATCTCTCCCCCACTTCACATGTGCCCGTCCCTGTTCCCGGGGCCTGGGAAGCAGCCCCCTCTGGCGCGTCTCCAGCTCGGTAATCACAGCTGATGTTTGAGACGGGCGGCGTGCCAGATGCGGAGCTAAATGCTGGACCTGCGTGACCGTTTGAATCTAAAGCTTCCAACCAGCTTGTGAGGTAGGTGTTGTGCCATTAGGACAGGGGTGGGCAAACTTTTTGACTCAAGGGTCACAATGGGTTCTTTTTTTTTTTTAATATATTTTATTGATTTTTTACAGAGAGGAAGGGAGAGAGACAGAGAGTCAGAAACATCGATGAGAGATAGACATCGACCTGCCGCCTCCTGCACATCTCCCACTGGAGATGTGCCTTTTTTTTATTCATTTCAAACGGGCCGGATCCGGCCCGCGGGCCGTAGTTTGCCCACGGCTGCATTAGTACCTCCACATGGTAACAGGTTCAGAGACATTGAGTAACATGCCCAAGGTCACACAGCTGAATGGAGGAGTCAGGATTTGAACCCGGTTATGTCTGACTTGAGAGTGGACATTTTGTGCAGTTACCTATCACAATGTGACCATGAGCCAAGTCCTAGATGCAGTGGCTGGCAGGGCCCTCAGCGGCCCTTCAGGTCTGCCTTGAAGCAAGTCAGCTTCCTCCGTGTCCCTCCAGACCCATCTCTGCCCCAACCTGGTCAGCTTAGGCAACAGGCTGCTCCCAGAAGCTCTGGTTTCTCCAGGTCCTTTCTGGTGGAAGGTCAAAATCTGTCTCCCTTTGACTTCCCTGTATGGTCAGCCTTCTGCCCCGTGGGCCTTAGAGGAGGCGTAAGGCTGCTCCCCACGCTAGGGAGACCCTCAGCTCCTGAATCACTCCTTCACCAGATACTGGCTGTGTGCCTACATGCCGGGGACAGAGCCGTGAACAAGACAGAGTCGTAGCCCTGGTGGGGTTGATGTTTATTTTATTTTTAAAATATATTTTAATTAATTTCAGAGAGGCAGGGAAAGGGAGCGAGAGAGAGAAACATCAATGATGAAAGAGAATCATTGATCGGATGCTTCCTGCACACTCCATATTGGGGATTGAGTCCCAGGGCATGTGCCCTTGACTAGAATTGAATCTGGAACCCTTCAATCCGCAGGCTGATGCTCTATCCACTGAGCCAACCCGGCTAGGGCTGGAGTTGATGTTTTAAAGGAGACAGACATAAGCTCCATGGCGACTATAATCCCTCGGCTGAGACAACTGCAGCTGATGATCCCTTTTCTGTCAGTCCTGTCCTTTGCCCACCCTCCTTAAATGTCTTGTTTTCCACCCTCCACACACACTCACACACACACACACACACACACACACTCCCTGTCCCCTTCTAGCCTCTCTGGATCATTCCAGATTTCCAGATTCGACACCCTTTGGAAATGTGGTCCCAGATGAGGTAGTCACACAAAGAGCAGGGCCATGGGGCTGCCTGTGATGACCCCATTCCTGGGGCTCGGAGTGGTCACAGGTCCTGGGAATCCTGGAGCTTCACTCTGTCCAAATCCTGCCAAAAGGGAAAGAAAATCCCGTTTCCGGCTGCCATATACCAAACAAGCAGGCAGTAAGGGATGTCCATTCTACTGGCCTCCTGCCCTCTCCCAAAGGCCAGACGCCCCCATTCCTACTCCCCACTCCCACCAACTAAGTCCTGCATCTGCTTCTGCCCTCCCCTAGCCAGGGCTGATGGGCACTTCTGCCTCAAGTCACACTCGGCCCTCCTCCAGCCCAAAGCTTGCTGGCGTGTTCTCACTGTGCCCCAGATGCACATATCTCAGTCCCTCCTCTATCTTCAGTCCAGGCATGACCCAAGACCAGGAGCCAGTGATGTTTCCTTGGACTCCCTCCCTTCCGCTGCACCTCCTCAACCTGACGGATCTTTGGAACGGGAGAGCATTCTGAGATACTATCACAGGTCTCTCTCTCTCTCTCTCTCTCACACACCCCCACACACACACAGACACACACACACACACACACACACACTTCCTTGTACCCTGAGACACTCCCTCTGTAGTCACTGACTCAGGACACAGTGGAACAAAAGAAGTCACTGGTTTCAGTGTCATAAACAATAGATTTGGAAGAATGAACGCTCGGGTACTAAACTGATCCACTTACCACTCTCCACCAAGGGGAATAATGAAAAGATGAGGACAGGAAAGAGAGGAACAGCAGAAGTTTCAGAAAGGAGTGAAGTTAGCCGAGTGGTCGGCAAACCCATTAGTCAGCAGAGCCAAATATCAAACAGTACAACGACTGAAATTTCTTTTGGGAGCCAAATTTTTTAAACCTAAACTATATAGGTAGGTACATTGTTATTAACTTAATTAGGGTGCTCCTAAGGCTTAGGAAGAGCCACACTCAAGGGGCCAAAGAGCCG